TTAATATACTACAGGATGCCAGTGACGTAATTGGCAGAATAATAGTCTTTAATAAGAACATGTAATTAGCAAACACACGCATGTATAATATAAACTTGTTCTATTACTCACGCCCGGGTTAAACTAATGAAATAAAACGAACAATGAAGACACTACTGTACTCGTAACACAAACATCTCACTACACAAACATAAAACAACGGTGTACTTACAGCTTTCAACACCACCCAAACAAAATGACACGATACTTAAATACGAGACAAAAATACCAAGTAACTGTCATCTGGCAGTCCACTTCACCTAGGCTAACACTTCCTCACTATCACATCGTATACACAGCCATCTCGCCCAACTCACCAAACAACTTAAACAAAGAATAGAACAAAAACATCAGCAACGTCGTAAAAAATAAACGCCATTCCCAGGGGAGACAGACAAGGATGAAGAAGGCAGCAGAGAGGGGACCAAGAAAGAAAGGAAGAAAACAACAATTCTGGGCGAAGTAGTTACCAACCAATCCATACCACTTTGGGCCGTACTCACGGTCATCATACCCGACGGTGAACCCGACGCTCGTGTAGGGAGAAGTCATTCAAGAACGTACTTTGGAGAAAACGATGGGTAGGAATCCCGATCAACCGGGCAGGGCTACCAACATTTCCAAATCGGCTGAATGGCCCACTGTTGCCGCAACCCAGTGTTGGCCACACTGGGATGGCCGGCGGTTGGTGTGCCGCTAGTCAGTAGTCACAACACAGCGCGGGAAATACAGTATGGATAAACGTGACTTAGTGTATCACTGTTCTCTAAACAACGCAGTGCTCTAGTTAGCCCCAGTCAAGAGAATGGAAAATTATACGAGTACAAATCATCTGACCCCTGGGGATGTGATAAGAAGAGAAATGTTTAGCTTGTTGACACACGGCTGTCCTCTCATGATCAGCCGGGATTATTGAACAAGATAACTTACAATCTTTGAATTGAAAACAAGACATTTTGCCACAACAAATTCATTTTCTATCAGTTTTTAATATATTTTATCTCAATTTATAAATATCTGGAGGGTGATAAAGCTTTTATATTCACCGGGACTGCTATAGGGCGGGTATCCCCTTCCGGTGAATTGTTTCAACCATACCCGATAGGAAATCCGATCCACCGGGACTGCCTTCGGGTCTGTAGGCGTCTCTGAATAACCACACCCGATACGGACCACGGCAGAGTTGGTCCTCACACACAGACTCCAGCCAGCCCAGGGCGCCACTACTCGTCTACTGCTTTATTAGTTTTCACAAAGGATTTAATACACCTGAAGCTGTAATTAATATTGTTGAGTTCTTAAAATTATGTTGTAACTGTATTTTATGTTTTAAGTCTAATGATGACAAGAGCTATTGTTGAGACGTTACTCCATAAAAGTGTCATTGTTTATCCAGACATTGGTACTGTTATCCTATACACTTCCCTTAGGTGAGTCAGAAGCATCAGTTATAATATACATAATATACTATAAAATACATACACATATATTAACAGTGAAAAACAAACGTTACATATTATAATAGAGGTCATTGTTGAGTATTAAGAGAAGTGAAGTAAATAAAAAAAAATATATTAATTATAAATCATAATATATTCCTCCACTCGAGTGTTTTGCTTGTAAACAATCACCTGAAGACACAATAGATATTTTTGTGTGTTTAATACTGATCAAACACACGGATCCAGACCAAGTAATTAAACATTTAGTTTTATTTTGTAAGTGAGAGTTTTTCCTACACACACACACACACACACACACACACACACTTGGATTCGACAGTTCGGTAATATTTAACCTTTGCTTCCTAGCGGACTCTTACATCTGTCTCTATTCCTTTATCTCTCCTGTCTATGTTTCTGTGGACAAGAACTAAGACTAAAGTTATTTTTAAGGGAGTTTGTATCGACAGAGTGAGTGTGAGGTTTGTGAAATATTATTGGAACTGTTTACGTAATTTTGCAGTTTTTTTAGGGGGGGTAATTTGTTATGTGGGGGAAAAGACAGTGAGAGAGAGAGAGAGAGAGAGAGAGAGAGAGAGAGTACATCTACTTTAAAAAGAGTTATTATCTATCTAAAGAGAGTGCGCGCGTTTATGGCGTATTATTGGAGCTATTTCTTGACATCTATGTGGTGTGGGATGCAATAACTGTTGAGTGTTGTCGGAGAGACGGGGAGAGAGAGAACGAGAGAGACAAAGAGAGAAACTGATGAAGGGCAGGAGATATGGCAGTCAGGTGAAGGTCATGCAAGGTCTACAAGGATGTGTAAGGTCTGGCCCAGGCACTATCAGGGGACGGTGAAGCAAGAGAGAGCCACTACACCGGCATCATCCACATTAACTCAGATTTGAACGAGTGTAAGTAAATTTGAAGTAGGGATTCCAGCGTGATTTCGGCTAGACTGGGTCACAGTCTTGCTTTGACTGTTGACGTGAGACTGGCCTGGGACTGGGAAACACTCTGATATGCACTGACAGCTTGTGTGACCATCCTGTCTATAAGTTCACCAGGCGAGCAACACGCCCTAACTAACAACACCGAAAGGCTATACCTGACTCATGGAACCTCGCTACTGTGAAGGAGTAGAGTGGAGGCTCCACCACAGGTGTGAGTAAGATCGTTGGATGGATTGTTGGCAGGAAGAGCCTGGGAAGTATTGAGGAGGGAAATGGTGGATGTTTGCTACTTTTCACCCGAAAAGAAAAACAAGAAAAGCAGTATAGAGAATTGGCTTTTACCAAAAGAAAATGACACCCCAGAAGTTTTTTTTCCTGTAGAAGAGAAAACTTTCGCAACCCGAGAAATTTAGGAGAAGGTTGAAGGCTTTGACAATGTCTGATAACTGAGAATTGTGGTCAAACTTATCCTGTTACGCCAAGTGAGAATAATTTTTTGGGGAGGAAAAGATGTAAGGACAGAGGACGAGCTCAGATGGTTACAAAGAGCCTCCTGATATTGCATTACCATTATCCACGTGAAGCCACTTATTACCGCATAGAGACTAAGTTGAACAGTCAAAGGGGTGAAGTGCAGACGGAAAATATAAAGGTCTTCATTCTGCGACCCCATGGTGAGTAATGAAACGAATTAACACCAATACGTTATTTGAGAAATTTAGGCACTTCCGTGTTTCAGATTACTTACATTCACACAGATTTACAATATCCTCAGAATCCTCCTCATCCTTGTAGGAGTGAGAAGGAAGTTATTTAACAAGGCCCTAATTCTCTCAGCTGTTGCAGTAGTAAGCTTCGAGTCACCATGTGTCTCTGTTGTACATAACCAGTCCATGAGCCTTTGGGGGGTCTTAAAATCTTAAAGGTCAGCTGAGTACTGACTGGTTATACGGGGTTTGAGGGGTCATGGTAAGGTGGTGGGAGGGGGGATGAGGCCAGACGCTCACCTTCTATTAGAGGAACTTGGACTTGATCGAAAAGTGTGAGTGGATGACTGAGAATAGACTGGAGGAGAGAAAGTTTCATGGGGGTTTTCTCTTCAATAGAGAATCGTCAGACAGATCAGTAAGGTAATGAGCATCATGTGAAGCCAGATGAGAGAGTAACACTAAGGCATAGAGAGAGAGACGGGAAGTTGAGTGAACAGACTTGGGGATAGTATTATGGTCAGAATTACAACACACCAGAGGAAATACAAATAATTTATTAAGAAAGCACAAAGCGTTGACAGAAAATCTAAGCTCCCGTGTGAAGGTTAAAGGGTTCGCCGCAGAGGAACAGTAGCGGGAGCAAGGCAGACGCGACTGGTGGTGAGAGGGGGGGTAAGGAACCCACCAGTTCAGGCTCCAATCAGCTTGGGCTCCTCTTTCATGTCGCACCGAGGGCCGGAGGTGGTCCGAGAGAGGCCACGAGCGAGGAATTTACTGAGCAGGTGACGTCGTGCCTGACCCTGACAGCTAGACACAATCACCTGAGGGATGGCATCTGGAGATAACGGCTGAGGGAGAGACGATAGCAGCAGGTGTCAGTCACAGGTGAGATGGTGACAGGAAATATGAAACTGGAACAAGCAGACTCTACCAACAGAGCACAAAACAGCAGGAAGAACAGGTTAGACCAAAACAATAGGGAACAGCAACCTTCAGCTTGAGAGGTTAGTAGAGTCCATGGACGGGAATGATTGGCGGGGAAACAGCTAGAGCATCACAGGTCACTGCTCAACACATACACAATCAGAGAGGCGAGTTGAGTGTACGCTGCAGGCCTTAGAAACTACGAATTACAGTGTATATCATCACCATCGCCATCATCATCACCATCACGATTATCACTGAAGTCACCTCCACCATCACTAGCATCATCATCACCATTATCACCATCATCGTAAAGAACATCACCTCCGTCATCACCATCACCACTACTACCTCCATCACCATCAAAGGACAATTTCTACCGTCTATAAAATGGTTGGTCGTCACTTACAAGGTTATTACAGGGAAGGTTGGCTGACGTCCCCTTGCAGCAGGAAGGAGGCGGAGGAGGAGGAGGAGGACGAAGAGGAAGAGGAGGAGGAGGAGGAGGAGGAGGAGGAGGAGGAGGAAGAGGAGGACGACAAAGAAGAGGAAGAGGAAGATAAGAGATACGAAGTGGCATAAGACTAATAATACACATTCCTTTCTCTCTTAAGATCGACGTCATTTTTCTGGTTGTCTGCCCGGCTGCTACGATTACTGGCTGGCTTCCTGGTTGCTTCCTGGTTGGCTTCCTGGATGGCTACCTGGATGGCTTCCTGGTTGGTTGGCTGGCTGGCTGACTGACTGGTTTGCTGACTTGGCTGACTGGATGGATGATTGATCGGTTTGCTGGCTAGTTGGCTGGCTGCTGGGCAATTCGACTGGCCGGCAAGCTGTTCGACTGGGAGACTAGCTGGCTGGCTGGCTGGCTGGCTGGCTGGCTTCCTGGCTGGTAAGAGGATTATTAACAAATTATTAACTTGTGTGTATCAGTGTGCCTTGTTATTCTGCTCGTGCTTTTCCTTATCCTTATCCTTGTGCTTGTCCTTGTGTTTGTCCTTGTGCTTGTCCTTGTGCTTGTGTTTATCCTTGTGCTTGTGTTTGTCCTTGTGCTTGTCCTTATCCTTGTGCTTGTCCTTGTGTTTGTCCTTGTGCTTGTCCTTGTGCTTGTGTTTATCCTTGTGCTTGTCCTTGTGCCTTGTCCCTTGTGTTTGTCCTTGTGCTTGTATTTTTGTCTCCTTTTACTTGTGCTTTTGCTTGCGCTAAAGGCATGCCAGAGCAACTGAACATCATCGGGCCCTAAAGAACAGAGTAACTAAACACCATTAGCTCTTGAAGAACATAACAACTGAACACCATTAGGCTCTTTAGAACAAAACAAATGAACACCATTAGCTCTTGAAGAACATAACTGAACACCATTAGCTCTTGAAGAACATAACAACTGAACACCATTAGCTCTTGAAGAACAAAACAACTCAACACCACCTGGCCTTGAAGAACAGAATAAGTGAACACCATCATCAATTTGACCCAAAAGTTATTTAAAATTACTCTAAATCCCAAGAAAATAAACATAAGCAGCCAGAGTCATATAGGAAGACCATACACATTTTTTTTTCTTCAAGTTTTAGATAAAAGAAAAGTGTCATATTACAAGTGACAACTCTCTCCCTGCCTCTAATCCACTTTTCTCATATCTTTCTGTGTCTTCTCCTCCTCCTCCTCCTCGTCTCCTCTTCCTCCTCCTCCTCCTCCTCGTCTCCTCCTCCTTCTCCTCCTCTCTTCCTCGTCTCCATTCACCCGTCCCTCTTCCTCCCGTACACGTCATTGCAGGTTATGATGTAAACAGGGAAGTGTAAATTAGACAAGATGTTAACACCATCAAAAACGTGACAGACAGACAGATAGACAGACAGATAGACAGATAATTAAAAAAATGAAATAGAGTGAAAGACAGAGAAGAAAAGTGAGAAAGAGAGAGAAAGGGAGATGTTTACTTCTCTTAAACTACTCCATAAACACACAGAATAAAGAGTGATTTTACGCACCTGCCTTACTGACATACTCTCTCTCTCTCTCTCTCTCTCTCTCTCTCTCTCTCTCTCTCTCTCTCTCTCTCTCTCGCTCTCTCCGGTTGTCTCTTCTACTTCATTCTTCTTAAGGATTTTTTTTTCTTTATAGCATCATCCAAATTTCTTTATGGCGCTAATTAATTCTTTCTTTTCCTCTCTTCTTTTTGTCCAATTCTTACCTTCAGTTTCCGTTTCCCTTTGTCTCTCTCACACTCACACACACACACACACACACACACACACACACACACACAGATGAACTACACTGTTAAAGGCTTCAGTTTAGAATAATCTCAATTTCACACTTTGAGAGTAAAGTTTTCTACTTAAGGAGGAAACTTCGACACTTGACTACTACACTCACGTAAGTACAACACCTGACTGTGATAATTATTACACCTGGGAGTTAAGGCAGCGACCAGGCCAGTGCCAGATGTTCCTACCTTAACTTACCTCTTAACTGGTGATAACCTTACTGAATATCTTACTAACTCTCTGTCATATAAAGTTATCCACCAAAACAGCAAAGGACTAAGACGCTAATGTGTGTGTGTGTGTGTGTGTGTGTGTGTGTGTGTGTGTGTGTGCAATAATAATAATAATAATAAAAATAATAATAATAATAATAATAAACTGTTTATAGAAAGGACATGACAACCAAAAAACTGAAAATATACAGTTACATAATTAGGGAATGGGTCACTTGATTGATAAATAATTATATACAAGTAACATAAGTGATACAAATATGATGGATAATAGCAAGGTGGGGAGAAGGTCATACTACAGGGTATTTCAACATAGTGACAGTACAAAAGGTAAGATTGGCTGGGAGTGAATACATTGGTTGATTACGAATTGTTGATAATTTTTACAATGGTTGGGAGTGGGCTGTTAGCGATCAGTTCGTGCTCGTATGGGCTGGATGTGGTTGTGGTGTTGAACAGCAATTCATGATACCTGGTGAAGAGAGAGAGAGAGAGAGAGAGAGAGAGAGAGAGAGCTGTGGAATAAGCCAGGATCACCTCCTTGCGGATGATCTGGTTGAGTCGAGTCTGTGAGGGAGAAAATGGGGGACACGGAAGGAGATATGAGAAAGGAAAGAGGAAGAGATGATGGAGGAAGGAAGGAGAAACAGTATCTCAAATGAGAGAAAGAGAGATAATGTCTCAGATAAGAGATAGTGAGATAAAGTACCTCATTTGAGAGACAGAGAAAGAGACAGAATCTCACGTGAGAGATGAATAGAGATACAATATCAGGTGAGAGGGACATAGTATTTCAGGTGTGAGAAAAAGAGAGAGATAGAGACAGTGACACTATCTCAGGTGAGAGATATAAACATATATCTCTCAAGGAAAAATTTCCATCTAACTTTTACACTTGAATTGGTCCCCCCCCCCCACCACCCCTCTGTCTCCCTCACCTTCTGTATCTCTGTGTCTGTCTTTCTGTATGTATGTCTGTGTCTGTCTTTCTATATGTGTGTCTGTGTCTGTCTTTCTGCATGTATGTCTGTGTCTGTCTTTCTGTATGTATGTCTGTGTCTGTCTTTCTGTATGTATGTCTGTGTCTGTCTTTCTGTATGTATGTCTGTGTCTGTCTTTCTGTATGTATGTCTGTGTCTGTCTTTCTGTATGTATGTCTGTGTCTGTCTTTTCTGTATGTATGTCTGTGTCTGTCTTTCTGTATGTATGTCTGTGTCTGTCTTTCTGTATGTATGTCTGTGTCTGTCTTTCTGTATGTATGTCTGTGTCTGTCTTTCTGTATGTATGTCTGTGTCTGTCTTTCTGTATGTATGTCTGTGTCTGTCTTTCTATATGTGTGTCTGTGTCTGTCTTTCTGTATGTATGTCTGTGTCTGTCTTTCTGTATGTGTGTCTGTGTCTGTCTTTCTGTATGTGTGTCTGTGTCTGTCTTTCTGCATGTATGTCCTGTGTCTGCCTTTCTATATGTATGTCTGTGTCTGTCTTTCTGTATGTATGTCTGTGTCTGTCTTTCTATATGTATGTCTGTGTCTGTCTTTCTGCATGTATGTCTGTGTCTGTCTTTCTGTATGTATGTCTGTGTCTGTCTTTCTATATGTATGTCTGTGTCTGTCTTTCTGTATGTATGTCTGTGTCTGTCTTTCTGTATGTATGTCTGTGTCTGTCTTTCTGTATGTATATACTGTGTCTGTCTTTTCTGTATATGTCTGTGTCTGTCTTTCTGTATGTATGTCTGTGTCTGTCTTTCTGTATGTATGTATGTATGTCTGTGTCTGTCTTTCTGTATGTATGTCTGTGTCTGTCTTTCTGTATGTATGTCTGTGTCTGTCTTTCTGTATGTATGTCTGTGTCTGTCTTTCTGTATGTATGTCTGTGTCTGTCTTTCTGTATGTATGTCTGTGTCTGTCTTTCTATATGTATGTCTGTGTCTGTCTTTCTGTATGTATGTCTGTGTCTGTCTTTCTGTATGTATGTCTGTGTCTGTCTTTCTGTATGTCTCTGAGTATATATATGGCTTATTCTTAGTGTATATAAAATTTGTTTTGTTTATTTTTATAACTTCTGTCAGGGGTCCAGGATATTGAAAGTGCGTCCACTGGAAACGATGAGAAAATTCTGTTGACCTGCCCCTACTGGAACTCTGGAACACTGGGCTACTGGAACTCTGGGCTACTGGAACTCTAGAACACTGGGCTACTGGAACTCTGTGCTACTGGAACTCTAGAACACTGGGCTACTGGAACATCAGAATATTGTAACACTGGAACCATGGAACACTGGAATATTCTAAGATAGGAGCATTGGCGGACTAGAAAACTGGAAGGCTGAACGACTGGAACGTTGGCGGTTGACTGGAGCAGCAAATCACTACAGCACGGGAACAACGGTACATAACATAGGAGAGAAAGAGGTAAGGAGGGAGAATGGCGAGAGGTAGGGAGGGAGAATGGCGAGAGGTAAGGAGGGAGAATGGCGAGAGGTAAGGAGGGAGAATGGCGAGAGGTAAGGAGGGAGAATGGCGAGAGGTAAGGAGGGAGAATGGCGAGAGGTAAGGAGGGAGAATGGCGAGAGGTAAAGAGGGAGAATGGCAAGAGGTAAGGAGGGAGAATGGCGAGACGTAAAGAGGGAGAATGGAATAAATAAAGAGAGACGCTGACATAAAGGTCATATTCCATGAACTAGGAAACTGAATTTAGAGTTTAGTCCAGCGTTAAAGATACTGTGTCATAGTGGTACTGATGCTCTCTCTCTCTCTCTCTCTCTCTCTCTCTCTCTCTCTCTCTCTCTCTTTGTCTCTCTCTTGCTCTATTTCTTTTTTCATCTAAGTCTCTATGTCTACACACACAGGTAGATAGACGGACTGATGAGTAGATGGTCAGACAGATAAATGGACAGATAGATACAGGGTGTGTGTGTGTGTGTGTGTGTGTGTGTGTGTGTGTGTGTGTGTGTGTGTGTGTGTGTACAGGGTGGTGTAATGCGTCTAGCGTGGCAGCATTATGTTATTTAAGGTGCAGGCACTTCTTCCTTCCTCTCACTTTCAGCTACCGCCGGTGGCTAGCCCTCGTGGTGAACAGGGAAGCAAATTACATAAGTCTTCCCCTGCCAGTACACAGCCTCTTCACCATCAAGACTCCTGCTGTGTCTCCTTGTGGCAACACACGGTAACTGGGTGCCTCGTGGGCCCAGGGTAGACCAGCAGGGGATATCGGAGTAGCAGTGGGCCCCAGAGGGACGGCGCATAGGCCCACTGGCATGTGGAAACGTCCTAATACCTACCAACCATTGTCCCGCTGCCTTGCGGATTAGCATTGGTAGGTATAAGGCTACAGGAGTAAACCCCGAACGAAAGCTCTGTGGTGGAGCCCCGCATCACAGACATGCTTACAGAGCTCCAACAAGACCCCAACGGCGGTATAGGCGGAAGAGGTGACCACCATGGGAACCCAACGACTACACTGGCGGACGAAGGCAATGCATGATGGACAGGCTACTAAGGCAAAACCCAACAAACTGGGCTATCGGCAGTCCATTTCAACTCTCCCTTTCCCCAGTTGTTCCAACACTTGCACCACTGGATCAGGAAAAGGGAGAGCCAAAATGTGTGGTTGCAGCCTGCGCTCCTGCCTCACCACATAAATCACCTCACGCGCAGCCATCATCCAGCTCATCATACCTCTCATCATCATCAAAACCCCTATACACCCACCCCCCCCACCCCACCCCCCACACAAAAAAAGTCAGATCAGGTCTATAACTCAGGTAGGTTCTAAACCAGTTGACCTTTTAATAAAAACAGGAAAAACTGCATCTGTCATCAACACAACAGGTAACCAGTTAAGAATCTTGATGTAGAAATAATGAAACATTTAAGACGTTTTTTAATGTTCCCCCAGAAAAAAACGACAACCTTCATTACCTGAAATAGCTTGATCTCTTAAATCCCTGATGTATCAACACGCTCATTATTACTGCCCAGTAAGACCCGTCCATAATTTACGCTCCCACGTTACCGATTGTATACGAAATTCATCACGGACGGACAGCAGCATTGCTATATATCCCAACCAACATCGAAAAATACTTTGATGTTCATGAAACACTAAGAGGTGGTCTAATGCTCAGGACGTTCCTGAAGCATGAGTGTGAAGACTCTGAGACGCTCCCACACGTCTCCGATGCTGAGCTATGACAGGATTAACACTGTTAATTTCAAGACCAACTGGTTCTCTGCCCAAAAAGACCTTAATCCTAATCGACCCTGAAGCATGATGGTCCTGAACATTACAATTGAAGCCCATTAAAATTGGGATCCATTGGAATTAGTACTTACTGGGATTGGGACCTGTTATTACTAATCTCCAATCCAAATGGTTAGGTTCGATCGTTACCAAATACGGCTGGGATCTGTTTGACGATTCAACAGATGACTGAGAGGAGATGACGCCTCTAAAACACGAAACCGATTAGGTAATATCCTGTAAAGCAGAATAATGAAACCACGTCAGCATGATGAGGGTCATTTTATTTTAAACGTAACAAGAGCTTTACAGGAGAGATACGGAAGTCTCTAAAGCAGGTGAGTGTGATCACTACGCCCACTTGAATGGAAGAGGTGAATCTCTGACGGGAAGAAGATGGGAGGGGAGGACTACGATACCCTTTTTGACGGCGTGAGGCAAGAAGATGGGGAGCCTTTCATATAGACAGCGACGGGACCACAGGCGACCACAAAGACGGTGTAAAGATAAGGAGTGGGTCCGACGTCCGCGCGTGAACGAGTGGGGGCATCACGTTGACTTATTGATACGGGAGGGACACCGACGTCCTCAAAGATAGAGGGAAAGAGTAACGTTGTAGGATGCGAAGGACTCCAGACTTAGCTGATGAATAAAACGATAATTAACAAATATGATAACTGGGACGTACCTGAGATATGGTGTGTTAATGTCCTCGAAGAGCTGTTTTAACTCACACTTACCTGGAAAAGGAAAAGGAAAATCCATTTGAGATCACCTGTCGGCTCCCCCCCCTCCCCCTACACACACCCCCTATATGATTATTCACACTTAACTTACAGGAACAACTAAGGCAGAGCCACTGGTTTTAAGCATGCCAAATGGATAACCAAAAGAACTTGTTCGATATGTCAAGAGCAAAACAATATTCTCATTAGTAGTTACCTTGTGCTGGCAGTCGCGGAAACTCTGGCACCTAAAAGGGCCACCCCTGGCACCGTCTTGACATCAATGGCACTTTACGAAACTTTGAGAGATTTCACAGTACATTGCGTCACTCTTCGACACCGTATGACATGATTGTGTGTTGCTTTTCACTTTATAACTATTCGAGACCTTATGCCACTTTATGACACTATGAAAATATGTGACTTTTTACGACACTTTAGGACACTTCCTTATACTTTTGGACACCTTACGTCACTGACACTTTAGAACACTTCATTACACCTTAGGACACTTAGACACGCTAGGACACTGCGAGACACCTCTGACACTTCCATTGTGCACCATTATACGACACCTATTAGTGTAATGGAACTTTATCAGAGTCATTGGAACTTAAAAGTATTTTATAAAACTTTTGGACATTACATGAATCTTCGTGACGTAACTTAACACTTTATGGCACTCTTAAAACCGTAAGCCAATTTACGACACTTTGTACCATTCTTATGACACGTAGGAATGTTTTTGGTGCCAACAATTACTTTGTGACACTTATAAGTTTTAATGACACAAGCACTTCACATCACTTACAAACGTCATTAAAAATTTTACAACACGTATAAACACTTTACGTCACTTACGAACACGTTATAATACATCGATCACTTCACAACACTTATGAAAATTTTAAGATACATAAAATCACTTTTTGAAACTTATAAAACCACTTTAGGACAGTTATAACACTTTGTTCATGACACAAACACTCTACAACACTGACGAAAACTTCACGATAATTTTCAGAAATCGTCAATTTCAGTCTCTTCTCCGTGTACACGTCCTTACCGGCACTAAGGCAGAGACAACACTGTGTACGGCTGTCTTGTCTTGTTAGAGGCCTCTGTTGACAGTCACATAAATCCGAAACCGTGAAACGAGGCGGATTCAACACCTGAGTGAACCTGCCAAACCTCGTCCCAGTGCTATAATGGACTGAGTTTGGTCGTGATTTACTCATTCGTTTCTCCACACATGTAACTTTAGAGAATATTGTAATTATAAAGTAATAGGCAAAGTACTACACAACATAATGGCTCGTTTTTGGATGATTGAGTCTCATGTATCGAAAACAGATGAGAACTGTTCCTGAACCCTCGGGTCACTTACGTCACCCATGTCTCAAAGTGGTGACAGTCAACTGGTGACAGAAAGTATCCTGAATTGTTTATATTGTCTATCGCGCTTTATGAGTTTATTGGAAACAAACTAACAACCGGGAAACAAACGGAAATAAAATAAAATGATTACACTTAACAAATAACGATAGAACACATTTTAAATTATTTCGTTATTCCGAAAGTCAACAGTTTCGAAGACGTGTGTGTTGTCTCAGGATTACCAACCCAGACCACGACTAAACCAGAGCTACCAACAGACTCCACACATCTGTCTTCGCATATTTTGTGACTTAATATTTAAAAAGACAACAGACAAGCCAAAGAAAGTCAATCATCTTAAACTTAATTCATGAAAGGTGATCAAAGACAATGTTTTAAGCGTTTCTTTGTGTAATTAATCAAAGTAACTACTGTAAAGCAGTTTGTCATTAGTAACAAATATTATGGCGCCGGGAAGGAATGAAAAATCATTAAGGATGTCAACATATGTTTCGGTACTAAACTGTCCCTGAATCTCTGTAACATCCCGGACGCCGTGGTGAGTTATCCTCCCCCACACATTAACCTTCACTCGGCCTCTCCGTTGTTCTAAAGAGATTGTTGTGCCGATCACATCTCTGTAAAATAATGTAGACCTTATCACATTACTTCACTTTCATGTCATATTATGATTTGTTATTTACTGGAGGATATGTAGGATTTTATAAAGTATTTTCATATAAGATTTACTAATGTTAACCCGGTTACAAACATAACTTATGGGTTGGCTACCTCTTGTTGTTTCGCCGCCACACATGTATTAGGCCTTGGTTGTTGAACGAAATTATTTACTTTTTGTCTGTGAACACCACTCTTGCTCAACATTCCCCCTTCTTATCGACTGCTACACTGTCGAGCCAAGGCGAACCTTGAGGCACGGTGGGCGTCAGTCAAGCTTTCTGGTCAAAGCTCATTGATGGAATATCCTGTGCAAATGAGCAGTGGCCTGTTTCGAAGCTTCATTATCATGTTATATAATATATCATGTTATTAACTAAAACAAATGCATTGCTGGTAGAGTGTGCTGCGTGGCCCCCAGCACTGCCTCGCTCCCGCCTTCACGGACGAAAAGTTTTTTTCATCGGTGAAGACCGTGCTCCTCCAAAACTCCACATCGCAGGGAAGGTGCTGGAGGGCAAAGCCGACCCGTCAACCTCTCTTTGTATTCCGGCACAAGGCGGTGAATACCGTTGTTCCGCAGGCGACTTCTGGTGGTGCTAGGATGGCAAAGCACTTGAATATCTCGTGTCAGCTGCACTGCTGACGTGAACGGATGTTCCCATGCAGCCGCCACGGTCTCGTCATCTTCATGGAAGTGATTAAACGAAGCCTGCCGCTCCGCGACCTTGTCTCCACCGCGTCATTCATTTCTTCACCATTGTCTTGATCCGTCCCATCTGCTCGGCAATGTCACTCACTAACATCCCCATCTCCCACATCCCGACAATCCTGTCTCGTTCAGTCATACTCTCAGGCTCGTTATCCCGTCCTTGAACCATTATGTAATGGAAATTCATTATGTATACACAAGGAAAAAAATTTGCTGCTTCATAACCTTCAAATTTTCATCTTTTAACCAACTTATTTATTTCGGTCCTTATTACATATATGAGAATTATATCAATTATTATTTTATTCGTTAACTCAATGGTTAATTTATGGTCGGAGACATAATTAGATATAGGTTTATTGTTTAGTGATTATTTCAGACAAAACAAGACGATATTCTGTTATGACTCTTAACGCATTTTACCATAACGGAGATATAGTGACTTAAAAATCAGAAAACTACTAGAAAAGGTATTATTGCATTTGTTGCCACCAACCGAATCTTTGTATTCTTATCTTTGCAAACAATAGTTTAGATAATTCTAAAATACTTCTCTTCTATGACGTTTCCCTCGCAAACGACCAAGAGCCGAGATATTTAAATGCAAAAGAGTTTAACCGAGACAAGCTTTAGTCGAGGTAGATCTCATCCCGTTGGCTGCGGGAGGTTACTCAGAGCTGAATAAATTCGTCAGGTGGTAGCCAGAATAAAATTGGTAGGTGCGGGAATAGCAGCGAAATGGTTAATCGAAATTGGTTTTAATATGCTGGGGTTCCGGGTCCACTCAGTTAGGAGTTAGGTAGGGTTAGGTTAGGTTAGTGTTATCAAGTACGTATTACTAATTAGTTATTCTAACCAACCAAATCTACCTCACCTTACCTAACTTTCTAACCAAGGGGAACCTGACCCCCAGGCATATTAAATATCTCGGTTATGGTAAGATGCGTTAAATGTGTTATAGAAGAAAATCGTTGTACTTTTGTCTAAAATTATCAATAAACACAAAAAACCCCTTTATCTATTAATATCCTCCACTACAAATTGACCAACACAATTAGCCATCCACTACACCTTGTCCTTGAATAGGAATTGTGACAGGAGAGGAGGACGTCAGTATAGATACCAAAATAAACTCTCGCGTGTAAGCTGCTATAATCTCAGGGCGGTGTGGCAAGTAGTAAGGAGTTATCTGCTCAGTGTATTTTTTGCTACCCAGCCTCCACAAAGAATTATGTTTAGAATGGAATGTTAAAGAATATATGCATAACATCCTCAGGTAAAGAACGTAATAACAAAGAAGGCTCACTGGTGTAGGTAGCTCATGGTCTCAACACACCTGCTGCTGCATTATTTCATTTAGGTTCGATACTGATTCAGTTCGGGAGGAGACGCGGACTTTTCGAGGTGACTATGGAAACAATCACCCTTTGTTTGGATCGCCACTCCAAGCAAATCAACCTTCTCTCTCCTCAACTCACCTCGTTATGGAGACAGTTGACACTATGCAGAAACAACAACAACTCAGTCTGGAAACACTGACCCAACAGGGACGTCCACTGTAAGCCCTGGTGACCCGCCTCCTTACTTCTCTCGAGATGGAAGATCCATCCTTCTCTCTCCCACTCATTCCTATCCAGTATCCTCAACAAGGTTTGGCGCCTAATACGAAGCCCCATTTATCCTCTGCACTACCTCTTTACCTCACACCAGAGGACGCTCCCTCCTCTTCTCACAATGGAACTTTCATTGTGGCCAAATTAAATTACAACCTTCCCAGCCTGATTGAGTTAATTATATTATTCAGTAACTTGTTCCATTTATCTACAATTATATTTCAAACCAATGTTTAATTAGTTCATTCATATATCTAAATTTGTCTAACTTAAAGCCATTATTAAATTTTTCAGTTCAGTTTGAATACTTTATTTACATCACCTTCACTTTACCTCATTTTTCATCTGCACACTTTCATCATCATATCGCCCCTCACTCTGTGTCTCCCAAGAGAATATAAATTCAGTTTTCTTAATCTTTACCTGTATGGAAAGGTCCCTAATGCCCGGGATTAAGCTTGTCAATCTTCGCTGAAAGCTTTCAAGAGAATCTTTATTCACATTATAAAACGGTGATCACACTTAACAGAATAATCTAGGTGAGGTCTCGCTAACGCTATATGATGTTAAGATGTAAAATAACATAAGTATTAACTAACGCTCCTAAATATACAATCTTACACCTTATTATGTATATACAGTAAATACATTGTTGTCCTGCTCTTACGAGTCTACTTATCATCACCCTAAATATTTCTCATTCAGAATTCTCTATATCTACGTTGTTCAGCTGATACTTGGTTCACCTGTTATATTTTCCCTAACATAACACATTTCATTATTTTACATAAAACTACACTAACCATTTCTCGGTCCATACTAAAAGTTTATTTCGGTCTTCCTGTAAACCTCTCTACTTCATCTAATTTACTTATACGTCGTATTTTCGTGTGGTCATTAAAGTTGGTGTGTACGTCTATGTCGATGTTATTCATGGATTTAATAAAGAGTGGAGGTGGGAAGACCAAGCCCTGGGGTACACCACTTGTGTTGACTCTCTGTTTCCTGTCTGTTAACCTTTACCTATTCCTGTTTAGAATTTTCCCTCTAATGCCATGCGTCTCTACTTCCCTTATTAATTAATCGTGTGGAACTCTATCAGAAGCTTTTCTGAAGTCAAGGTAAATAACATCCTTGCCATTACCATTGTCAACAGCTTTGAAAACACTTAAAACGAATGATGGTAAATTTGTCAAACACGAACACCCTCTAGTAGCGCCGTGTTGAAAGTCGTTAATCATCTTGTGCTCTTCAGAGATTATGAACTAAGTTAGTAATTACAGTATTGCTTTCATTATTTTCCCCACAATAAATGTTAACGTGACAAGAAGGTAGTTTAAGGTTAAAGACGTTTCCACCTGTCCCACCTGTCTGTGAATCACCATTGCATATCCTCCAGGATTCTAAAAGACTCTAGTCCTTATAAGTCCCGCCCTAATAGGCCCCAATCCAAATAGGTCCATATGCTAAAGGATCCCAATCTTAATAGGTCCAAGTCCCAATAGTTACCAGTCGTAAAGGACCCTAATACTAATGGGTCACATCCTAACCTCGCCATTAAGTATATTTCCCTTTAGTAGTGTGATCCATTTGGACTGTAATGTGTGTTGTCTGCCTGTATGTGTGGCTTTCTCTCTTCTCTCTGTTCTGTTTTACTTATATTTCTCTCTTTCTCTCCTTTTTTTTGTGCTTTTTTTGGTCTTATTCTAAGGTGTTCTCTCTCTCTCTCTCTCTCTCTCTCTCTCTCTCTCTCTCTCTCTGTCTGTTTCTCTTTTATCTCTCATTCATTTTTCTTTATTTTTTTAGGTCTCTCTCTCTCTCTCTCTCTCTCTCTCTCTCTCTCTCTCTCTTTCTCTCTCTCTCTCGTCGTTATTCATTGTTATGCATTGTTATATTTTGTTATTTGTTATACATTTCGTACTCCTATGCAGTTAGCCTACAGGTACAGATGCGGATACAGTTACAGGTACAGGTACAGGTACAGGTACAGGTACAGATACAGTTACAGGTACAGGTACAGGTACAGGTACAGGTACAGGTACAGATACAGGTACAGGTACAGGTACAGATACAGGTACAGGTACAGATACAGGTACAGGTATAAACAAAATAATATAGTAATATCTTTTGCTTGAGGATCTGAGGCAGTAAGGAAGAAAAAGAGTTCCCTCATCTTTTATTTTATGGTGAGGTAATTTAGCGACGAAGGAATGTCAATATTAGCCGGGATGTGGATGATTGCCTGTTCTCAACTTCTTCTTCTTCCTCTTCTTCTTCTCTTCTTCTTCTTCTTCTTCTTCTTCTTCTTCTTCTTCTTCTTCTTCTTCTTCTTCTCTTCTGCTTCCTCTTCTTTCTCTGCATGACATTGGTAAAGATTTGTGTGTGTCGCCTTCTTCTTCTTCTTCTTCTTCTTCTTCTTCTTCTTCTTCTTCTTCTTCTTCTTCTTCTACGCCGCTGGCCTGGTTGAGGTATAAGAGAAGGTTGAAGGCCATAATTAAAAAAAAAATATGTAGCGGTAGTTATGACAGTATTAGCAGTAGCAGCAGTAATAGTAGTATAGCAGTAGCAGTAGTAATAGTAGTATAGTAGTAGTAGCAGTAATAGTAGTATGGTAGTAGTAGCAGTAATAGTAGTATAGTAGTAGCAGTAGTAATAGTAGCATAGTAGTAGTAGCAGTAATAGTAGTATGGTAGTAGCAGTAGTAATAGTAGCATAGTAGCAGCAGTAGTAATAGTAGCATAGTAGCAGCAGTAGTATTTATATTATACCTGTCAAAGCTGTTGGCTGATTGACTGACCGACTGGCTTGGTTTACTAACTAGCTAAGTTACCGGGTTGGCTTTTTGGCTGTTTATGTGGCAAACTGTTTGACTGGCTATCTAATTGGATAGATGGCTGGCTGGCTGGCTGGCTGGCTTGATGGCTGGCTGACTGGTAGGGAGGTAAGAGGATTATTGCCAAAAACATCTTTAGAGCCCGGCGTGTGCTTGTGGTGCTTGGTGTAACGGGAAGGATGTTAGAGTTTGTACACGCATATAAATGGTAGCCTTGACCCCTTTAGTGCGTGCGTGTGAGCTTGCGTGCGTGCTTGCGGGCGGGCGTGAGTGCGTGCGTGCGATAAATACAATAATCCAAGTTAACCTTAAATTTTCTCTCTTCTGGTAACTGATTAAATTCTGTAATTGATTTAATACGAAAGGAAATCGAAGGCAGTAATCAGACAGACAGAGAGACAGACAGACAGAGAGACAGACTCCCTCTCCCTCACCTCCTCCTCACCTATCTTACTCTATTTTCTCCTCTTCCCTCACTTTGCTTCCTCCTTCTCCTTCTCCTCCTCCTCCTCCTCCTCCTCCTCCTCCTCCTCCTCCTCCTCCTCTCCTCCTCCTCCTCCTCCTCCTCCTCCTCCTCCTCCTCCTCCTTCCTCCTCCTCCTCTCCTCCTCCTCCTCCTCTCCTCCTCTCCTCCTCCTCCTCTTCTCCTCCTCCTCCTCCCCAGTGTCCTCTTCTTTCACCCAAACACGTCACTTAGTTAACACTCCCATAGACAGAGAGACAG